ATTACACATGCGATTGGGGTACATCTGCTCAGACTAGATGGGTTTACGGTTTGAGTAAGTTTCCTTAATTATCAAAAGTGATAAGCATCAGGGTGGAATTTAATAATTTCAGTTGCATTAAGAGAACGAGAATCTTGTTGAACCTTTATTGTGACAGAGGGAAATTTATAACACAATTTTTCAATTACCAAAGCTTTTACAATTGCATTTTAGAGACAAACAGTTTCACTTATAAAGCAAAAGTGGGCAGTCCGTTGAAACTAGATACGTGTGCGTCGTGGGACGATAAGATCAGTTCTTTAAGTTGTACTACAAGCAACAAGAATGGTGCTGTCGATGTGAAGGATAGAATCACAGTTAGTGAAGATAATAAATCTGTGGTAAGTCCCCCGTATACTGTTTATATCATAAGAGGCATGGATCTTTCCTGACGTTGCTATAAACTGAACAGTGAATATGTTGCTTCTAACCAGTTAAAACATTCATCATAAGTACACATTTCAAACTTTTAGCTATCCACTCACGTCCTCCACGCAATTTATGCCTAACTTTTGGTTAACCTGCTTAGTTGATTTAGCATTAAATTTGTACTGTTCTCAATGTTGCTAGTCGGTAGCCCGATGGTGGGAACCGTTTCCTTGCAGTTAAAAGAGAACCATCTGTATACTTTTGTTCCTGTTGGGCCAACAAATGAACTGACTAGCTATCGTTGAGGACGAGCTCTGAAATAACATGATTCGGTTATTCTTGTCAACCCAAGTCTAAGCACAGTGGTGATACACACCTATGCTACGGGTCCGGACTCCAATTCCCGGAGGGGTGGTGATTATGCAGAACAATATCTAAGGGGAGCAAAACTCGAGTCCAGAGCTTTAGGTGTGTATGGTTGCCTGGATGAACTAGGGATTGTGCGTGAAAAAGAAATTTGAAAGATGATCAAACCCACCAAATAATTAAGCATGGAGTGCCGATATTTTTTTTGTAGTGCTGGTAATGCGGTTGGCCATGATATTTTCCTAAGCGCATTTCATCTTCATGATGGTCAGTCTTTATTTCAGTTATTTATCAGTCAAATTATCGTATTTTCTGATTTCCTTGTAGTGGTCCCCGAAAGTTTTAATTGTGTGTCATTTTAGAGGAGAACAATAATCTCTGCATAAGAGTTTAATACAGGAAAGCCAAATAATTTTTCCACACGAACCAGTTTACCACATATTTTTTGGTACAGAGAATCGTAAACAAAGGCAAGGGCAGTGAGAAATCAAGCATCATGCTCATTCTGGTGTAGTACAACGGAAGACATGATGACAAACCAACTACCTGAACTGTTTTATTGTGCTTTTGAGAGATAATTAAGAGTATTACATCAGTTAGATAAAATAATGAAATCAGTGAGACACAAAGGTCTATCAAAATATTTTACCATGAACCGGTCTAAATCTGCTTTAAACTGCAAAACGGTATGTATTTGACTCGTGTCCAAAACGTTTTTATCGGGATTTGCTGGCGTGATACGAGCTACCTCGGTCATCGTCCAATTCAACCGACTGAAGCATGAAACCCTCTTCAATAAAACATTTTCTCATTTTATAACGGAACAACATTCAATATCAGAGGAGAAAGAGATTTTCATTAACAATTATCTGATAATTACATAAAGACAGAAAAAAGAATATTTTTTTAAACATTTTCATTCATACACCTGCCACGCACGGGATTTACAATTATGATGTTTGTGTCACCTGTTCAGCAAAAGCGTTGGGATGTAGAGCTATTGCATTAATTCAAACTTTATTTCGGTACCAACATTTACATGTATTTGGAAGAGATATTTTCGGATCTAAAAAAATAATTATATTTACCAATTTAGTCAAATGTTTTTCACCGTTTATATACTGATGTCTACCTGTTTATTTTTAACAACTCACTTCAGCTGATGATTTGAGAAAATTTACTAGCATTATTCTACTCCGTTGCAAGAACAGAAACTTGAAAATCATAGTAAAATTTAGTGTGACACAGCTCCAACATACCTATTATAAACACTTTGTGATACGTTCCTTGTATCATCATTTAATCACAAAAGCTGAACCTATTGTGATTCATCCACTTGGTTTGTAAAAATCTACCGCCCTATCCTGGAAATTAACGATAATCTATTTTAAACCGACCTTTGTTGTATACCCCACCAGTTTTCGTTCGCAAAAGTTACATCACTAATTTGTACAGAATTAAAGAGCAAAAAGGATTAAATTTGGTTGATCGAATTTGACATTATATTCACTGCTAGAAAATCGTCCTGAATGGGTCGATTGTTCTTCCTTCAATTGTTTAGTATGTTGCCGGATAGATCTTCAGCCCATAATCTATAAAACAGTTGATCACGGCAGTTCCGTGTAGTCGCATAGCTGACTTGGTTAGAACATCTGAATAGACTCTTTCGAACATGTACGTAATACTAATAAGGGCATAACAAAACCAAGGAATTAATCTTGAGTTGGTTCTTGTGTTTCTACGTTCATTTAAGAAAACCTAAGAAATACATATTTTATAATTTATTCAACTTTGACCGGCTTCATTTTAGACGTTTTCAAATTTCATTGAAGAATATGCTGGCACTTACAAGTGTAGCATACAGTACACATATAATACGATTGAATACCATTTTGTGGTGGAGGTGGACACGGAATCTACAACTGAGCGCACTTGCAGTGCACAGGGCAACGTGCATGGTCAGTCAATATTGGTTATTACCGATCAGTTTTGACATATTCATCATGATAAGTTCGATCAAAACGAGTAGGATGAATGCATTACTAATGCCCAACTATACCTATTTTATAGCCATCGAAATAATTGGTACAGTAGAAGATGATGAAAAAGCGGTGCTTTACCACCCAAAGATGAGTGAACTGAACTCAGAAATCCGTAAATCTTTTGAAGAAAAAATTTGCAAACTGGTAAGCTTCGGTTTATATGCATTTAATGGTGACAAACACACCATATACAAAACTATTGCCCATTTCTCAATGTTTTGACTGTATCTCAGAGTCTGTTTCATGATTTGAACGTAGTCAGAATTGCCCATGAGCATGAGGCTCGAGTGTCTGCGTTACACTACATCCGAAGTTTCATTTAAGTGAACGCACAGCAAAATCACTCCACACATCTTATTTTTCAGTTACATAATTCTCGAACGGATGTGTCCTTTATCACAACGTTTCAAATATCGTGCGTGCTGATCGATGTATATCCGATCAGCAGTGAGTTTGTCTTGTTGTTGAAAGTACACGACGAGCATCTGAAGTACCTTGGTTTTGAAATGAACAGAGACGGTGCAATCAAAGCGATTCAGTCAGTGTACGACAAACCTGCATCCAGAGAACATATGGTATTTTACTTCAAAACGTTTTCTTCAGGTTAGTTAAATTAAATGACCTGAATCCCAGGGTTTCCTTCTGAAATTCACGACTGTAACTTGATGTGAACCTAAATTACAGGGGCAAAACACAGCAACTGTTTCGTGCTAGTAGGAGGATTTTCTCGTTGAAATTTATTTACAACATTGCACCGTGTTGTGTTGGTTTTGGTTTATGTTTTTCTAATTAATTTATCTTGTCAGGAATGAGAAAAGTTTCTACCATCGCAATTGCCAATGGTACTCTGGCTTCACTATAGAAATGTACAATAATTCGAGTCGATTCCTTTGGTGTGATGGATAATAATGAAAAACTCATTTTCCTCAAACGATTGTCCTAAAAAATTACAGTAGCTCCCCCAGTCGTAAATAAAGTGCTTAAAATTATTTCTGAATTTATTTAAAAATTAGAAATTTAGTTGGTCACCGTACTATAATGGAACAATGCATGACCGTCCATTTGACACAATGTGCATTGCCAGATTTTCATTCAAATTTCGGCATTTATAGGGCTTGATTTAAATGAGCACCACGGTGCTCAGTCAGTTTTCCAGAAGACACGGTTGTTGACCTCATTAATTCAGCTAAGGAGGACGAGAACTTTTAACACGCTGCTGTTATTGAATTCATCCTGTCGACTTTATGATAAGAAAATGGCACGCCGAGGAGGAGTAGAATGCCAGTTATCAGATGAGTGTAGCCACACGTACTGTGATTATTGAGTGTGTTAGATGGAGCTAGTGCTTCTGAACATCAACTGACCCGCACAAATTTGATCAGTGTTCCACCATATCTAGAAGCTGTTTACGTTTGCAGTTGCTTGTTTTTTTCGAACATCATTATGTTTAGATTTCTGTGCTACACGAATTTCAATAAATGGTTTCATATCATTTCATTCCAGACGAGAAGAAAAGTCGTGGTAAGAATTTTCGCTCTCATAATTCGTGCCAATGTGTCAAGCATTTGCCTATTTTCCTATTCATTACACGATGTTTGCCAGCTGAATGCCACTTGGTTGGAAAATAAAGTGACATACCCGATACAGCCTTTTGCATCCTCACGTGAATAGAGATGCGTGAAATTAAGTAATGCGATTGGAACCATTAGTTTCCCTGAGGAGGGTAGATTTTTCAATCCATAAATCAACAATAGGCATTCACGAAATACATTGGTTTCAACCCAGCAACAGCTGTTTCTGTACATCAAACATATGTTTCCTTTAACGGATTCAAAATAAACCTTCAGTTATTTACCAAGAATGAATACATACCAGCATTCGGTATATTCGTCGTCCAAAGTACTGAATCTCATCGGATGGTGATCGAACTCCTGGAATAAGAATTGTAACCAGGTAAAAAATTAAACGAAACCATAACAAGGGTTTTTTCATTATAGTGCTTTCATTCTAAATAATTAACACACTGATGCACTGTCCCATGTGAATCGGTGAAGGATTCTATTACATTTCTGCTAGCAAAAAGGCTGCCATAGGTTGAATCCAAGCAAAACTTTTCTACTAGTTATAGAATCCCGTCTATTTTGATTTACATTTACCGTTTTGTGTAAAATGTCGGTCACCTTCATGAAACAAAACCGCTTAAGATTATTTACACATTTTTCCAAAGAGTATCAAACCGTGTTTGTCGAGGGTGCAATTTACGTGGACGGTAAGAAAGTGGAATATAAAGCGGACCACGATAAATGGGACGGAAATGAACTTGGGAGACTTAAGGAAAAAGCCTGTGCGCTTGTAAGTTATTCCACTAGACTGAGATTATTTTCCTGACAATTGCTATTATATAGGCTGTAATGTACAAGGAGTACACTTCCTATATTTGCAAGAGATTTGATGATTAAAATGGATTTGTACTTATTGAATACTATGCAAAGTTTTTCCGTGACATCAATCAGTTTAGTTAGTTGGAATATGAACAAGCGAGATCAATGAAACGCCCATGCCACACAATGAGAACGTTTTTGTATGGCCGCGGCCCTCTTCCTGAATATTGAGTATACATATGTATGTACAACAAATAAAAAAGGAAGTAAAAGGACATCTATTTATTTATTTAAAAGATAATGATTTAATATGCATGCATAATCAGTTTTTTCAAAACCTTAGTTAGCGATTTATACTATCAGCACTTTTCCAGTTGATTTTTTAGTTACCAGTGCCTAGAGATAGATTGATTCTTTGTATTGCTGTCATTGTTACATCATATATGTAGGAAGGTTTTGTATTCGTTTAATGGGCCTAGGCCGGACTGAGTGTAATGAAATTCGCATTCTCCAAATTTACGTATCTGCATTTTTTCTGCCCTTCATTAGCATGTTTACTCTCATTTAATGAGTAATACCATTTCGTTGATTCTGAGCCTGACTTCAATCTCTCTGTAAAGAAAGACAACATTTTTTTATCAATAAAAATAAGAAAAATGAAGTCACTCATACTGCTTTCAGTTTTTAATCAAATAAACGTACCAGAATCTCCGATCGAGGTCCGACTAAATACGAACTATAAGATGCACTCACACCGTGTGTGAAAGTGTATGAGTGAGTATGTGCCTGAGTGTATACGTGGGTGTTGACGTGAGTCAGTGTATGCGTGGAGCTACATTAAAGTAAGAACCTTATTGACTGATCTTTATAATTAAACTTTGTACTCAAGTAAGAAATCCGCTCAAACTCATTCATGATTTGAATGGGAGCAGCTAGAAAATCAATTTTGTGATTGCTTACAAAATTTCCTACTCACCTTGCTATTTTTGCCGGGGTGAACGGTCGAAAGTTACGTTTCATTGAGTGATTTTTTATTTTTCCAAGCATGTCTACGGTACTGAATGCTATTTAAACTTGTCCAAAAGCCCGAGAACACCAGAGGATATGAACAATCTTGCACCTGCCTAAAATATATTGAGTGAATAATTTTGAACAAGTTTTTAAAAGTGGAGGGAGAATATATCAGAAGAGGTTTGCCTCCAGTCGGTCATTTGGATTTTTTTCTTACAACTGTTTATTTCGTAAATCTACAATTTGTTTCAGTTTTCATATGTTTTTATTAGGTTACTTATTTCTGACTTTAAAGTGACAACAGCCTGGATGAGAAAATAACTTTAGGGAGAGCAAAACAACAGCGTTTGACGCACATAAACTCTATCGACGTAAGAAAGTTATTGGGCTCACAAGGTACCACCATATTACTTATATAATAGTTATAAACATGGATTACAAAATTTCAGCTCTGACTACTGTACTTTAATGAATCTCGTTTATGTTTGGAGTATACTAATGCACAAATAACTTATTCTATTAGTTGGCTTAGATTCCTAATTGGTCATTTGTTCTTCCTTCAGATTGAAACCTGGCGCATGGAAGATTTTCTGCTTCACAAAACTCCGATTGACTGTACTGCATACACGATGGACTTGAACTCCAAGTTTGTGGTGCAACTATCGGTTTACAACAGGGACATGAAAAAACTGGGCATTTCGACCGACGAAACTTCACTGGCGAATGCTATTGAAAACTGGTTTGAACGCGTCCCAAGGAATTTGAAAGATCGTCAATACAGCCCTAATGTGATAATACCGCGTGAGAACCGTTTCATCTATCGAATTGAGCAATATTCACAGCTAATTTGCATTTCATGGATATCAGTTTATACAACTGTTATATCCTTGTACTGATTAGGTCCAGAGTGCGTATTGTTGAGGGATGTTGTACGAAGAGGAATTCTAAAGGGCTAGTTTAAATCTCCGAGATGTAAGAAATATACACATGGAAGATGTGATCAAGCCGAGAAGAATAATAGGGTCAATAATTATTTTCAGTGTTACCAAATTGCAGAACTCCTAAGCGTGTACTCTAGTGAGGTGATTTTGATTGCAGTCTTTTGGTTAGTCGTTTGTATTGAGGAGTGGGAGGATTGAACATTTGCAAGCAGTGTGATTTTGAAGATAGTGGAGTCCAATAGACTAGGGTTCCCATACGTTTGGGAAGATGAACAAACGCCACTGTTTGTGCTACGCAGGGAACATCGCTCTCAAGAGGCAGTCTGATTTGTGTGGGCCGTAAAATATGCCCTAACCAAGGTAATAAATGGAGGTTGGACACACTACATCAGACTACTGTGATGGCCTAGAACTCTGCGCTAAACTTCAGCGTTGCCCGTCCAGTTTCCCCACCAAACGTGTGTAATGCTGCATACACAATATATCTGTGTTCTGTTCTGTACCTTACAGTAGACCCAGTTGAAATGCTCCAACATATACACACAACAAGATTGCACGATGGCGCCATAGATTCCAAAAAATGAACTAGCTTTCTGTGCCTCTCGACACTTGATCTGTGATGTGTCCGTTAGGTGAGACGCAGGCACCCAACCATAAAAATTACCAGACTATTACTGTTATTTACAAAGAGTTTTTGAGTTAATGGGTACTGGAACTTTTGGCCCACCAAATTAATAACTTTGCTTGTATAATTCTCGTCGGTTTGATTCTTATTATTATTATTATTATTATTATTATTACTGTGCTTTCATCTACGGTCCCTTCTCAAAACACTAAAACTGAATGATATGATGGAAAACCTAACGAAAATTCCTCATATGTTACCATTTTCCCTTTGACCTAAACGACAATTGCCATAGTTGTTAGTGCTTTCTGGACAAGCGCGACTCCAACTATCACCTTGCGATCCACTGAGTTCAAACAATATGTAAGTGCAACCAACAAGCACAATTCAACAGTGTTATTTTCTTTATCTGCACGCTTTACGGTAACTGGATCAGCATTTTCCAAAGTTGATGTCCATCATTTTGAATAAATTCAATTTCTTCCATGCAAAATCTTCCATCCAGGTGAGCTGGTTCTATTCGACGTACGCGAAATACCATGGGCAAGTCATACCACTCGAGGTCGTGTACAACTCAAAGTCAAATGATCAAATCGTCACCAGTCTGTTCAGTTCGAGTAAGGAATTGCTAAAAGCGGGCATGATTATTCGACGCGAGTATGCCAAACTTTTGGCTCAGCCAAAGCAGCAATCGGAATCAACCTTTGCTTATACGATCACGGATTTCAAACGTCGTGAGTCCCTTCAATTTGACGGTCCTTTTGTTCCACGTACATTTCGTTGTATGTAATATAGGCCTACTTAACGTAAGCAACAACGTGGGATATCACTTATAATTTTGATCTATGTGCAGATCATGTGTAGATGTTACGTATCAGGATTATACCCATATTCAAACCGCAGTTAGATTCAATGACTCTGGTGTATAAGCCACAAAGAACGATTGTTCATAACAGTGCATCTTTGGGTTTTTTAAGTTCTAGTTCTTCAAGGCTGTGATTGCAAAACAAGGATGAAAACTAGTTTCGTGTACTGTCGGTTCGAGTACTCTGTGATGTAAACGAAGAGTAATGTTGGACCAAAGTCTGTATCCAAATGCGTAATAGGAGCTCGAAAATACGACGATAATTTCATATTGAACAGCGGAAAGTTTTAGTTTTCCATTATGCCTCAGATTTGGTTCATCCACTTATCTTGTTTGCTTACAGAAACTATGGTCAAGAAAAGAGTATGTAAGTACTACTGCAAAAACGTGTTTTCTTCCTAATCCATTAGAAAATTCGTCCAACGGTAGCGTGAATTGTCAAGTAAGGATATAACAGTTCGGTATGATATTTTAGCCTGGGTAAAACTAATTCTTACTTGAGCATGTCCATGTCTTTAAACTGTTATATCGTACCGTCACGGCTTATAAAATTGAATCAAACACATATCAAAGGTTGACAAAATATTGAAAATCGGTTTTCGTAGCTCGGGTGAACTGAATTCCATTTTGCC